ACTTACACAGACAATCAGCTGCCTGAGTTACTCTGCTGCATCAAAAGCTCAGGGTCAGAATGAACTATCATGGAAACACAGCCAGAGTAAACCAAATTTCTCTTTGAAGGAAGGATGGATACTCCATGAAAGCTATGGTTAATTAAACATTCAGCTCCTTTGCAAAACCCCTAAGGGATATTGGGTCATAGAAACGCTAGAGAACAGGAGCTCATACCATCTTTAAGTGTATTGAACCACATTATTAATTTTTCAAAGGCATTTCACTAAACAACCAAGAAGATTGCACCTGTGAAGTAAGGCTAGCCCCTAGCCACTTATTTCCATTCCTAGAATACTCGCCATCATTTTAAAAAAAATATTTTCAGATCAAATGGAGCATTGAAAGTGAATGCATTCTTTAGCAAATAGTCTGCGATCCTTATGGCTTAGCAGGGTTTCTCAGCTCAGGAAATAGTCAGGAGTGTTGATGAGGGTAATGATGTAAATGAGGACACTTACTTGTTTCTATTCAATAGCACAGATTCAGGAGACAACCCCGCTTAGAACGGCACAATTTATTTCACAGTATGTGTGCATAAGACAATGAAGCATCATTAATCAACAAGGACTCTGGTCTTGAGATGTATTAAGTCGGAGTATATTTTAAAAAATCTAAATCATTGCATTTTACTTTTTAACTTCACATTTATATATAGAAGTTTGTAAAATTATGGTAACAGGAAATTTCACACAGTAATTAAAATCATGAAATCTCAAGTCAATCACTTGTCAGGTCAATTGCTTCAGTTTTATAATTTGTTCTCTCACTTTCTGAATAGTTTCATTAATTTTTCTGTCATTCATTTGCCTGGTTTATTGTTGCTGCTTGTTTGTTTGATACATGGTATCTCTCTACATGGCATTGGCTGTCCTGAAATTCACTATGAAGATCCACCTGCTCTCAAACTCAGAGCCACCTGCCTCTATCTCCCAAGTTCTGGGATTAAGGCATGAACCACCATACTTGGCCCATTGACTGTATAGTAAAGTGAAGATAATAATAGTCTCACTTCCTGATGAGTAGATAGTAAGTGAATACGAAATATCTAAGTTAGTATCTCTGACTCAGCAAGGGTTTGATAAATTTTATTCCTTAATATTATGGGGTAAGACTTACTGTTACTGCATTAGTTACCTTTCTCTAGAGTAACAGAATCTATAGAATGAATCTCTCTATACATATAAAAAGGGGATTTATTAGCATGATGTACAGGCTGTGATCCAGATAATCCAACAATGGCTACGTATCAATGGAAAGACTAAGATTGTAGGAGTGCTCAGTACACAAACTGGATGTGTCATCTGGTCTGCAGTTAATACTGCAATCTCAAAGAATTTGTCTCTGTTACCTGTGAGGGAATGGACTTGCTAGTCAGGGCAAGGATAAGTGGGCAAAGAGCAAGACTTCCTTTTTTTTCATTTCCTTTATATAGACTTCTAACAGATAGCCAGGTTATAGGTAGGACTTCCCACCTCAAAAGATCAATATTAAAGTTATGCATGTCTTCCCACCTCAAAGATCTGAATTAAAAGTGGATCATCCTAATTCAAATGATTTAATTAAGCAAAAATCCCTTCCACATGTGCCCAGCCATTTTTGGCATTTAGTTAATTCCAGATGTAGCCAAGTGGGACAACCAAAATTGCCCTCACAGTTATGAAAGAACTAGAGTAGTAATAGCTAACATTAATTCATTTCATTGCTATATCAGATTGATTTGATGCTGAGCAATACACAAAGGGAAGTTTGTTTGACTCACAGCTCTCATGACTGGCAAATCCAAATAATATGGTGTTAATGGTGTGGGTTGGAGTTTGGAGGGCACTTGTCGACCAGGTTCTTGTGTTCTGGAATGAAGAACTGAACCAGGAATATGTGAATGGTGGCAGAAACAGAGATTATTAAAGACCAACAAAAGTTCTAGATTGAAGGTAGGACAGAGCTGGGCATAGGCCATGGTCTCAATGGACTAATGTCAGAAACCTTGTGAACTGTATATGGGTAATTTACATACTATGTACTTTTTATGCATATGCTCTGTCTGTTTTGATAATCACAGCCTGGTGTGTGTGTGTGTGTGTGTGTGTGTGTGTGTGTGTGTGTGTGTGTGTGTGTTCAGGGAGGGGTCCCAGTCTTCCTCTTCCAATTTTTTCTTTTAATATGCTAATCTTCATGAATTTTTAGCATTCTTTTTCATCCTAATTTCTTACCTCCATTCCCCAATGAAACTTGTAGTCCCAGAAACCTTTCTTGGGAGAGCAAGGATAACTTCTTTTATGCTAACGAGAGATAGAATCCTAAAGAGAAATCATGATACTCTCTTCCTGTTCAATTCATTGGTTACAGAGGAGGTTCTATTTCAGGTATTGACATCTCTGGGTAAAAAGCTGGTTAGTAGCCTTGGGAATTATTATTTTTACCTGTCGCAGTTGTTGGATTCTGGAAGGCATAAGACAGGTTACTAGGTTTTGGATATAGGCACTAAAAACACAAGCCAGAATGAGAAGTACGAACACTGGCGCCACTGAGGCTAGGATTACCCACAGGTTCCCCACAGATCTAATGAGATAGCCCTGCCATGACCCTTAATAGATACCAGAGTTTAGATTTCAGTTCACTTAGTCATCCCTTTTGCTTTTATAAGACCTTGTTTATCTTTTTACATTAATCCATTAATATTAATTGTTAATCCAAAACCAACATGACCCCTTAAGCATTGCACCAACTCCTATCTGTGATGTGGTAATGTTCAAGACTCTGAAATTCTGCAGGACCCTTTATGCAAAGGAATCAAAATTTTCCTAACAAAGAAATGAGAATTTCTCCAGAAATCTCATGATGGGAGAAAGAAAGGGCACCAGTTAGAAAGGGGACTTGTTTGTTTCCCAGAAAGAGATTTCACATAGTTCTAACAAGGTGAAAGGCCACCTTACAGAATGACACTTTAAGCCCCAGACAATGATAGACCAATAGTGGGCAGGACCTCTCTTTCAGCAGGACTGATTACATGTGCATATCCTCGATCCTCTATTTGAACTTTGACCTCACTTCAGGACCATGCAGGCAGACAAGAGGACTTCCCAGAATCCCTTTGTCCCCCTTCCTAATGTTGCTCACTGAATAAATCTCCACCTCTGCTTCCCACTATTAATTTGGCATTTTAAATTGGCTTATTGATAAGGGATGGCAAGACCTAACTATCACAAGTTGATAACACTAGGATAGTTGCAGCCAAGAAAGGTTTCTCATCCTTTGTTTCCATAGGCTGTAGTACACTTTAGCTGAATAGTGGCTTGTCAGCATATAAAAGTGGTTCTCAACCTGTGGGTCATGGAAAATTGAAAACACATGTTTCTGATGGTTCTAGGGATTGAGAAACCACTCAGTAAAATTGCAGTTATGAAGTAGCAACAAAAGTCAATTTATGGTTGGGAGTTCCTAAGATCATCAGAAATATGCATTTTCTGATGATTGAGACCCCCAGGTTGAGAACTGCTGGCATACAGGATATAAAACTCAAGTAGATGTGGGATATTTTTCAGTCATATAGAGAGTTCTCATGATGCTCAAGGCCCAACAGAGAGAAAATTATCACATGTATACTCTAGGAGAAGAGGCGCTATGGTAAGAGATTGACAGGCCACATTCTGGGTTACAAGTCTGAGTGGGCTGCATTGTGAAAAATGCCTGTGCACTCTTTGCTCTAATTGCAAGGTAACAGAAAAAGCCTGCTAGAGTAGTTAAATATCCCATTGCCCCAAGACACAGGAGACTGTGATACCACAATGCTTATGTTCTCAGCCCTCATCTCTCTCTGGCTCCCTTATTCTCTTTTCCATATAAATTTTACACTACAATTGCAAAAGGACACACTTAGAATCTACATGCAAGGGCCAGTTTTATTGAAATGAGGGATGTAAAAACTTACCTTCTTTTCCAGAAAGCTTGCATGATGTTCTGGCTGGTAAGAATTATACCCATTAGCACATTCCCACCAAATTATTCAATGATTGTGGAACTCATTTTAATGGACAGGTATTTAAATCTGTTTATAAAATTTAGTCTTTTAGATAAATAAATAACACAGTATTGTAAAGAACTTTTAACAATATTGAAAATTGTTAGAATTTTCCCCAGAGGATAAAGAAAAACTAGATGACTTCATGACCTAAAAGATAAAAGACTTTTTAACGAGTCTTAAGGTATACCTGTCCTGAGAGGTGCTTCTTGTCCAGATGATTGACAGATCTTTTTCTATTATACAAAGAGTAATAGTATGCCTTTACAACCTTACAATCTTTTGTGCAATTCAGAACCTTCTGTCTCCATTAAAGGCTGTAAGTACAAGTCAGATTCCATTCATTTGAACAAAACTAAATTATATAAGAGTAATGTGAGCAAAAAACGCCTCAAAAAACCTGTTTCTGCAGAGACTGATTAATTAGAAGTTCAGTACTATGATGATATTGGAATATGGCAGGTACAGAAGCTAATAACCTTATTTTGGGTTAGGTGTAGATACAGGAACAGCTCCCCTCCTCCACCTCTGTGTCAGATCTAACATCCTGTGTCTAATGTGTAGAAACCTTTGGAGTCTAGTGACTTCATAGATGCCCTGGCTTCCACCAACCCAAAAGCTAAGAATGTCATCAGATGCTATGTATGGAAAACTTCCCCCAGTTTGCTATAACTGCCTCTTCTATGGACTCACCAATGTATTTTAAATATGCTTGATGTCTGACTTCCTTTGTTCTATAAAGCTATAAAGTGTCATGAAATTGTTTTCCCATTAGAATTGGAATTTTGGGTAACCTAAACATGTTGTCAATTTGAGATATTTGTCATTTGTATTTGACAATAGATTGAAAAGAATAGAAGGAAAATTAAGAGTAAATAAATATGTAAAATAGACTTGTTTTGTCAAGAAATAGTCTTCCCAAAACCCTGCTACCTCCACCATCCTCATGAAGAACAATTGTGATATTTTTTCTTTCTTAAAACTAATGAGTTACAAGGGAAATGAAGGTGAAGCTCAGAAGCTGATCCTGAGGGTTGCATCCTCAACTATCTTCAAGCCTGCTAATCATCTGACTAGACCAGGATAAAGGGAGCATGTTATCTATTGCCAAATGTCATTGTCATCAGATTATCCAGATTAACAGTTCACTCTCAGTGACCTATGGCACTAGTTTTTTATTAACATATATTAATTGTAAGTAATAACGAGTTCAGCATATTTTCACAAACACATGAAACCAGCCTAAATTGGTTACAAGCAACCTAGCTTTTGTTCCTGTGCTTTTCCTCATTCACTTCCTAGACTCCCATAACCATGAATGTATTCTACCTTCAATATATGAGAGAATGGCAATATATTTTAGGGGAATTATCAATACAAAAGAATATTACATATTCCTCATTAAAGAACTCTGAATCTTTATCAAGAATCCTCTACTCTGATGGTAACCTACTAGTCATTGTTCTTCATCCTCAGTATAAACAGTTAAAGCAAAAAGATGCAGTGGTTTTCAAATATGCTTTTTATTCTCATATCATAGGCAGGGAAGGACATGGAGGCAGGAATTTTAGAAGGAGTCAATGCATTCTCTGTTGTTTAGGTTCCATGTGACTATCTTGTAAAAAGCTTTCTCTGCATCACCTACTCTGTATGGTTTCCATGTGTAATTCCCTTGTCTGGCCTGTCTACATGAATGTCTATAAAATGAGGGGTCTCTCTCAGCTCTAAGCTAAGTTTCAAAAGCTCATGACTATGCATGGTATCTGATTTCACTCCAGTTTTGTATTAATGGTCTAATTTGTAGTCTCTCTAACTGAGCAACAACAATTTATATGACCATTCCATTTGCTCCAGGTCAGCCCTTTCATTTCCATGTAGTTGCCAACATCAGTTACCAGCTGGTAAAGAAGAACTGACATCTCATACTTGCATCATGAAAGAGGTCTGTAATAGCCCATCTCTGCTGGGGCCACATCATAGCAATATACCAGTAGAAATCTACTGCCAAGATACCTTGCTGTCTTCTAAGCCCAACCATCCCCAACTAGGGAGTATTTGCACCTGACCTTGAAAACGTCAGAGTCTATGAAACTGTTGTCAAATTTTCTTTCACTTTTGAGAAAACAGCCCCACTACCTGTTGAGAAAATAGGAAGGCTGAGATGTGTATAAAAGCCTATCAATGGCAGTGTGAGATTTCCCACTTGGAGTGTCTTTTAGAGCCAGCCAGAGAATTGAGGAGAGGCTGGGCAGAGAGGAGTTCATGCAGGGAGATTTTCACCATCACTCCATTTTGTGGTTCTGGGCAAAGAGATTCTAGCCTCTGTGTCTGCCCTCGATCTTACTTTCTTTCCATTTAATGAAAATTCTCATAGAAGGAAGCACAAGAGAGCATTTTGAAGGCAAAAGTCGGTGGATAAAGCAAATAAATTCTGTTACAAGCAAGACGGTTTCCCCAAATTCCCCCTTTGCAGGACTGAGGCTGGTTGCTATCTACCTAAAGGATGAGATATGGCAACTCAAGCTTCTTCCATCAGCAATTAATTAAGCATCTCTGAAAGACTCAATGTCAAGACGAAAAAACACCAACAATTGCAAACTCCAACAGAAGTGCCTTGCAACTGCCTGGTAAAGTATTCTACTTCTGAGATTGTTCAAGCAGCTGTCTGGTGCCTCCCTGGCCTTTCTCTCATACCCTTTCCTGCCATGAAAAGAGAAAGCTAGACAGAAGTAAGAAATCTGAATGAAGAACTCCCAGGGTCCTGGAGATCACAGTCTAAGTAATTTCAATTGACTTCGGCAACTCTTCAGTTACCACATCCTAGCCCTTCAAGTTAGCAGGGTGATTCATCTATTCATTTGCACTTCATAGACAAGAGGCTTTGTTTGTGTCCCCTTTTCAGATTAGAAAAAAAGACTTTGATACCTATTCACAACTACAGCACATGCAGAGTTGCCAAAGATAAAAAGGATGGCCTCTCACTGTAGTTTCCTTAATGATATGAAACAGAACTTACCTAAGAGTAAAAGGGACACCAAAGAAGATAGAAGTCCAATGAGAAGGAATGGTGGGGTTGTGAATTTGGAGAAGGAATGTCAGTTGGCCTGTGATGCAGCTGTTGCTAGCTGATTGTGGATGTCTTGGTAGAAGCTGGTCTGTCAGCGAGCAACATCTGCATTTGGGGTGTGGTTGCTTTCCAGCAATTCTTTGCATGGCAAGTGAACTAAGAAAACAGGCAGGAGACTTTCTTCCAAGCATTTGTATGAATAAGAATCTTTGGCATCAGGAATGGAGTAAGAGCCTGCTAAGTGCAGTCTGCCAGCTTTCTGAGCACAGCTTATGCCTCCTAATAAGATGAGGCATCCTTGACTGGGAGACTACGGGTAAGAAGGGAAAACTTGGCATCATGGAGCATCTTAACTATCCAGGACATGGTGCAACCTATTAGGGAATGCATTTGGATAAGAGAGGGAAATTCAAAGAAGAAGAAGAAAAGAAAAACAAACAAAAAAAACCAAAACAACAACAAACACTAAATCTACAGGCTGCCCTGTTCCTTGTGCTTCACCAATGCACTCATGTTCTCCTAAACCCAGAGATAGGGCAGAAGGTGGGGAAGTCTGTAGGGGCCTGGGAAAGGAAATGAGGCCCTCACTCAATTCTGCCCAAAGTCTCTCACCAGAATCTGGAATAGGGCCCAGTAACTTTTACTGAAGGGTTTCTCCTTTCCTAGATGCAAATCTGAACTTAAATGTCTCACCACAAACCCTATTTACATAGAATAAGGTGGACTAAACCCTTAGTGGATCCTGCTTTTTAACTTATCAGACTGACATAACCTCATTCAAAGCCACCTTGTTTGTAATCTAGGTTATCAAAAGGAGAGAGGAAGGCAAAAATAGTTTCTTAGCAAATGCTTAAGATATATCTTGAGAGCCACCAAAAAGGCACATTTACTAAAAAGAAGACAACTAATTGCTATTCTCCACAGAGCCCATACACACCCCCTCTTTCTCTTAATCTTTGTGATTACAATCCAGGTTCAAGTGTATGTCAATAATGACTTCTTCTTCGGGAAGCCTCCTCTATGAAGTAGGTATGCTTTTGTCCTTTCCCAGAATGCCTCTCGTCTATGTTTAAGAGAACCCCAACTCAGGTTCACAATGGCTAACCCTGAAATTACTTCCTGTATTGAAGCCACAAATCCCGAGTTTACCAGATTCAGAGTACCTGAAATGAAATACTTCAGGTCACAGATGGTCAAAGTGTGGAGTAATGTCTTAGTTACCAAGGTGCACCCTAACCATGATCCCAGAGGCAATGATTGTCTCAGTGGGCCTGACTGAAGGTTCCCAGAACCATTTCTTTCCTTGCTATTTTTAAAAGATAACTGTAATCAGACCACTCTGTTTTCCCCTCCTATTTTTTATATCTAGTTAAGTGCTTCCAGGAAGCATCCTTCTGGATCTTAGATTGTCAGTAAGTCCAGATGTAGTTATGCAGAATAAAAGGCTTTCGGGAATTTTTGGTCATTTGAAAGACAAAGATGCTTCAGTAAGCTACTGTATTTCAAACTCTTGTCTTTGCATTCCTGAATGTATAACAAAATCTCCTCTTGGCTCAGTGACAAAGTTTTGATGTGTGCAAAAAAAATTGGGGAGCCCCTTTATAGATTCTGTCATTTTCCTTGGGAAGACATTGCTTCACAACCAGAAATATAGCTGTCTTACTCATGGGTTTCAGTGATATTTTCTGAAAACAAAATAAGCTAATGGAAAAATTTCTACTGAAATATAACAGCATCATTCATCCAGCATCTTCACTCCTCTTACAGCCTTACCAGCAGAACCATGTAGAAAACCTGCAAAACGAGATTTCTGTTAGCAGAAGTGTCAGCATTTCCAAGTGAAATTCAGGAGATCAGGAAGCTTTATTTGTTTGTGTGATAATTCTTTTCTTAAAATGTATTCTCTCATATATTATATCCCAACATCAGTTTTCCCTTCCTCTTCCCCTCCAAGTCCCTCCTCTTCCAACTCCCCTCTCCCCTAGATACTCATCCTTTCCCTTCAGAAAAGGGCAGGCCTCCAAAGGGATATCAACTGAACAAGGCATCAAATGGCAATAAGACTAGACACCTTCTCTCATATTAAGGAAGAATAGTATCACATAAGCATCAGTGACAGCCCCTGCTCCTAAATTAGGAGTCCCACAAGAAGAACAAGCTATACATTCTTAGCATATATACAGAGGGACTAGATCAGACCCAGACAGGCTCCATTATTGTCAGTTCAGCCTCTGTGAGCCCCTATCAGCCCAGGTTAGTTGATTCTGTGGTTTTTCTTGTGATGTCCTTGACATCCTTCTGTCTTCTCCCCCACCCCCACGTCTTCTGCAAGATTCCCTGAGCTCTGGTGAATGTTCGGCAGTGTTTCCATCAGTTGCTGGGTCAGGGCTCTATGGTGATGATTATGCTAGGCCCCTTCTACAACTATAGCAGAATATCATCAGTAACCGTTTCATTGACTTTTTGGTTTGGTTTGGTTTTTCCTGGGTGTGTTTGTTTCGATCTAGCTTCTGGTTCCTGGCCCATCAGGCAGATTCAGGCTTGGGCTCCCTCTTGTGGCATGGATCTCAAGCTGGACCGGTCATTTGTTGGTCACTCCCACAATTTCTGTACCACCTTTACCCCAGCACATCTTGCAGGCAGGACAAATTGTAGGTCAAAGTTTTTGTCGCTGGTTTGGTGTCCCGATCCCTCCACTGGAAGTCTTGCCTAATTACAGGAGATGGCTGCTTCAGGCTCCTTATCACCCATTATTAGGAGCCTTAGCTAGAATCACCCTCTTAGAGTCTGGCAGTTTCCATTGCACTTCGTTTCTAGCTCATCCTGGAGATGTCACCCAAATCCTGTTGTCACTCCCAGTATTCTCTGCTCCATCCTTCCCTCACTTTATCCCTCTTGTTCCTGTCCCCACCTGCACCTGGCCCACCAAGAAGACCAAGCTACACAGGTATAAAATATTCAATATCTACACTATTTCTCCTTCCCAGGGAGATTCAGGCATCCCCGCCATGAATGTTCCTTGTTACTTAGGATCTCTGGGTCTGTGAATTGTAACATGATTACTTTATAGCTAATATCCACTTTTCAGTGAGTGCATACCATGTTTGTCTTTCTGGGTCTGGGTTACCTAACTCAGAATGATTTTCTTCCATATATTTGCCTGAATAGATGAAGTTATTTTTTTAAAACATGTGCCACCACAAAAATTTGATTCTTTTTAAAAATAATTTATCTATGTTTGTTTCATGTGCATTGATGTTTTCCCTGCGTGTGTGGCTATGTGATGGTGTCGTATCTTGGAGTTACAGTTTTTAGTTGCCATGTGGGTACTCAGGTAGAGCAGTCAGTGCTCTTAGCCACTCAGAGATCTCTCCCAACCATGTTATTTGTTGTTTTAACAGCTGAATAATATTCCATTGTGTAAATGGACCACATTATCTTTAACCATTATTTATCCCCAGAGGGACATTTAGATTGTTTCTAGTTTCCAGCTGTCACAAATAAAGCTGTTACAAACACAGCTGACCAAGTGTCCTTGGAGTATGATTGAGCATCCTTTGGGTATATGACTAGAAGTGGTATCGCTGGGTCCTGAGGTACATCAACTCCCAATTATCTGAGAAATCACCATATTGATTTCCCAAGTGAGTATACAAGTTTGCACTTCCACCAGCAGTAGAGGAGTGTTCCCTTTGCTCCACATTCATTTGTTGCATATATATATATATATATATATATATATATATATATCTTT